GGCCCTCACATCATCCCCTCCTCTCGGAATAATGGAAGGCCGTCAGGGTTCTCTTGTAGATGGGCCGGGATCTGGAGGAACGTCAGGAGGAGGCATTGGTGGATCTGTAGACGGTATTAACTGCTCCTGATCCCTTTGTATGAAGCGTTTTAACCGCTGCACATGCACAATCTCCGGAGGATCGGCCTGCTGAACGTCATGCCGAACCTCATAAACTTGTGGTCCAACTTGCCGCAACACTCGATACGGTCCTTTCCACTGCGCAAGGAGCCCCTTAGATAAACCACGTACCGTAAGATGGGGAAAACGGACTAATACCAAATCATCCACTTTGTACTCCGCAGGTGGACGATGATGGGAATTGTAGCGCCGTTGTTGTCCCACTTGTACGCGGCCTAAGTGTTCAGCAGACTCTGCTCGGACAAGTGGAAGAATGCTTGTCAAATATTGATCCCATGACCTAGCATCAGGAGCTCGTGGCAATCGCGAAGGTAAACCCAGCTCTGTTGGTAATATTGGATCATGACCATATAGAAGTTTATATGGTGAAGCACCAACAGAACTCTGCACCCCTGTGACATAGGCATACCGAAGAGACGGCAAATAACCATCCCAATCCGAATGTTGAAAGTTCACATACTTCGCAATCATCCCTTTGAATGTCCGAACGAGCCGTTCCACCAGACCGTCTGATTGTGGATGATAAGCACTCGTAAAAGTGTGGCGTATCCCCAACCGAGATGTCAAAACATGAAATACCTCAGCCATAAATGCAGGACCATTATCCGAAAGAATCCGCTCTGGACAAGAATGCTGGAACACCACTCGATTGAGGAGGAAGTATCCAACAGCAGTTGCAGAGGCACTAGCAAGAGCACCAACTTCCACCCAATGAGTCAAGTAGTCAAAAGCAATAATAACATACTCATTGCCAGCAGTCGATCGCGGAAAAGGTCCCATAAGATCAAACGCCACCAACTCAAACGGACGAGAAACTGCAATTGACTCCAACCGTCCTTCCGCAGCACAAGGGGGAGTATTACGAGCTTGGCACCAAACGCAGCTATGCACATACCGGATAATATCACGTCGCATCTCTGGCCAATAGAAAGATCTGCGCAGCTTCTCGGTGACACGACGGTGTCCCATATGCCCACCTAGAATAGGAGAATCATGGTAGGCATGGAGAAACCGCGGAATAAACACCGAAGGCACCACCAGCCGTAAATGATCAGCAGGATCCGTCCCCACAAAATAAAGAAGGCCATCTTCAAGGCAATATTGAGAATGTAAATGCCGAAAAGGCAAGTCATCAGCAAGTGATGCAGGATTCTCAAACCCATCTTGAAGCCTTCGAATCCACGGCTCAATCTTTTGAGCCTCGCGAACCTCATCAAGAGAAGGTAGATCTTGCTCTACGCCCTGTGGACACTGAACGTCAAGGACAGCAACCGCCGACGGCACAGAATCCTCATCTAGAAAATCCACAGATGCTGGAACAACAGGTTCGTCAAAAACATGAGAAGTGAGTGGAGAAGGAAGAGGAGCTCGAGAAAGGGCATCAGCATCAGCCATAGAACTCCCTGGGCGATGAACAACATCGAAATCATATATCTGAAGCTTCAAAGCCCATCGAGCCGTACGACCAACCAGGTTCTTCCGCTTCAATAATGAAGTAACAGCAGCATGGTCACCTTCAAGTAACGTCCGAGAACCATGTAGATATGCATGAAGTTTCTCGAAACCCCAGACTGCTGCTAAACACTCCTTCTCCGTCGTGGAGTAGTTCATCTCCGCTGGTTGTAATGTACGGCTGATGTATGCAATGGGATGGCGTTGACCAGGCACACTCGAGCTCTCTTGCATCAACACACCTCCAAGACCAATGTCAGAAGCATCCACGCGCAAAATAAAAAGGTCGAGTGTAGTTAGGATATGCCAAAATCGGAGGAGTCGTCAATAGCTCTTTGAGATTCACGAACGCCCGCTCACAATCGGGAGACCAGATGAAAGATGACGTTGATGACTTCAGCAACGCTCGCAATGGTGTAGTGCGATCGGAAAGATGATCCACAAAACGACCGAGATACTGCACCTTACCCAAAAAGCGCTGCACATCATTCACACACTTTGGAGTAGGGAACTTTAGAACAGCCACAAGTTTGTCAGGATCAACTTGCAAACCCTCACGAGAAATACGGTACCCAAGATAAGTTGTGTCCTTGGACCCAAACACGCACTTCGACTGCTTCAGCTTTAAACCAACGTCGCGTAGCCGATCCAACACTTTACAAACATCACGAACATGCTCCTCCCACGTCCCCTCCGAGTGGATCAAGACATCATCAATGAAGTTAGCCGTCACCTCCGGCATATCGCAAAGAACCTCGTCTATCATCCGCTGAAAAGTTGCTGGAGCATTGTTCAAACCAAACGGCATCACCAAAAACTCGTACAAACCAAATGGTGTACGAAAAGCAGTCTTAGGAATATCTTCGTCAGCCATCGGTACTTGCCAATACCCAGAAGCAAGATCTAGCTTGGTGAACCAACGACTTTGCCCCAGACGATCCAAGAGATCAGCAGTGTGAGGAAGAGGGTACACGTCCGGGATCGTCACTTCATTTAACGGACGATAGTCGATGCAGAAACGAATACTCCCATCAGGCTTCGTCACAAGATGAGGTTCACATGCCCAAGGACTCCGCGACTTCCGAATAACACCCTTCTCCAACATCTCCTTGACGTTTGCACGTAAAATCTTGATCTCCTTGGGTGACCGACGACGAACAGGAACCTTGATTGGACGAGCATCCCCAGTTGGAACGGGATGACGTGTGGCAATCTTGGCCCCAGACGATAGGTCAAACTCAAAGAGATCAGAATACTCCTTCATGAGCTGGTCAACAGCTGCAACACAAAGATCATCGGAGGGATCGGAAAAGGGAAGAGCAGAACAAGATGGAAACACAAGAGGAAATAGTGGGGGAACAAAAGTAATGGAAGCAGAGGTAGAAGTAGAGGGACGAAGAGGTACGGAAGTGAGAGGAATGGATGAAACATAAGGAAGTATGAGACAAGGGGGAGAAGCCTCAAAGTCACACTTGGCATGATTGTGTTGCAACCAATCCATACCAAGAATGAGGTCAAAAGCTTGACTCGGCACCACCCGCAACGACTGCAACTCAAGCTCGAGATCGCCCACACGCACAACCAGGTCTGCCTCATCTCATGCACATGCATGTGTACGGCCGTTGCCATAAAGAATGAAAACTGGATCCGCCGCACGACGCAAGTGTAGACGACAATGTGTGGCAACAGGTCGAGCAATAGAAGATAAACTCAAACCTGTATCAACCAACATGGAGAGAAGAATAGAAGACCTCTTGTTATAAAAACGAGCTTGGAAAGTAAACACTGGATGAACCGGTGCCGAGTGAACCCCTTGATGATACTCCCGAAAGAAAGATGGAGGGGTCACTAACTTATTCGCGCAAGGTCCCTCCATTACTCGCGCGACTCCTCGTTTCCCGAATGCACCTCGGGATCCAAACCTTCCACCGCAGCAGCACCAACGGGACGTTGCTGACGCCAAGGTCTCCACCCAGGAAATGGAGGTCGCCAATCCGGAAAGCGCCGACAACGCCGATAAGTATGACCAACTTCATCACACGCCCAGCAACGAACGTCACGGCCACGACCACGTCCTCGCCCTTGTCCTTGGACTCGAGTAGCAGCAGCATCAACCTCCATGGGAACAGGACCATCACTCATAGGAAGCGGAGCTGAAGGACGTGTAGCAAGAAGTGGAAGAGGCGACGTCTCATAACGTTGTGCCAAGTGAAGAGCATCGTCAAGAGTGGCAGGAGCAAGTGCATGCACAAGTCCGACAAGATCTTGACGAAGTGCTGGCCACAGCATTCCTAGCTTGATCCGCTCTGACATATTTGGCTCCGCACGAAGCAAAAGACTTCGGAAACGAACGCCAAATTGCATCACCGACTCAGATGGCTCTTGGCGAAGACGATGCAATTGTTGGAAGGCATCATCACAATCGTCGGCGTGTCCGAAGGCGCGTTTGAAGACGTCCGGAAGAACACTCCAATCACCACGAGTAGCTGCGCTCAATCCATTGTACCACTGCAATGCCGTCCCTTGGAGACATGTGGGGAACTCACGCAAACGTCGAGTATCATCCCAAGAATGATATGTGGCAATCACCGTGAAGTGATCGAATCAATGGTACACATCATCCCCAGGATTCCCACGAAAGAACTCCGGCCGAACGCGAGGATTGGCACCAAAAGCAGGAGGAGTTGTACCATGTGCCGTGAACGCCGCCATCAACTGAGTTTGGTTGTTCAATTACAAGCGCATAGCATCAAGCAATTGAACCAACTACTGCTCTAGAGTCAAAGGAGGAGATTGCGGATCGGCCATGAAAATGAATGAAAAAGAAAGAGCAAAAGAAGAGAAATGACAAAAAGCTGGAAAGAAATGGTAGATCTAGACAATGCAAAAAGCTAGATCTAAACCAAAATCCTAAAAGGAAAAAACAAAAGAAAGGAAATGGAAAAAGCTAGATCTAGACAATGCAAAAGCTAGATCTAAACCGAAATCCCAAATCCAAGCACTCCCAGGGACAATCAAAGGTGCCCCTCACCTCCACCAATGTGAGTGCATGGAATATGGAAAGGGAATACAAAAATGTGCATATCAATTAGCCCAAAAACCCTAGCTTATATACAGAAGCGAGTGGTCCGGATTGAAACCAATCCGACGGCTACCAAAATCCACTACGCTAATATTAGTATATGGCATCGTAGCTATACACTTGGCCCTCACAAATGGGAATAAACTAGATTTTCCTATTCCATTTAAATTTCTAAAATTCTCTAATGTGGTTAAAGTATAAATGTTGATGACTTCATTCAAAACGTTTTAACTATGCGTGTTTATAGGACTAGGGTTACAGAGCGATGGAGAAAGGTATGGGATTAGCGGGCCTAGCTCTTGCACATTCCCTCCCATGTCATGGCTGTGGTGCCGGCGGCTCGCAATTCGCCGTTTTTCTCGAGAGAAAGCCACCGGGCGAGAGGCTATGGCGCTTCGAGCACCAGCGACGAAGGAATGCACGGAAGGACTTTCACAAAAACAAGCAGCAGTGGCTCAGAGGATCAAAAAATTCTCAGCTGGAACAAGATCAAACAAGAGGAGGACAAGAGGAAAAAGGAGATGGTGCTGGAGCTCATTGCTGCATTGAAGGCGGCGAGCGGCTCAAGAGCGATCGAGAGGGGAAGGCAGCTCCATGCCGCAGCGGTTGAGAGTGGCAACGGTTCCAACTTCTACGTTGCGAGCTCTCTCGTGAGCATGTACGCGAGATGTGGCTGCATGGGCGAGGCTCGCTCGGTGTTTGATGCCAACCACGATGTGGTTCTCTGGACAGCGCTCATGCTCGGCTACTCCAAGAACGGCCAGGGAGAAGTGACTTTGGAGCTCTTCTCGCGGATGCTGCTCGTCGCAGGCCGAATTCTCAGACGTTTCTGGCTGTGCTCAAGGGCCTTTCGCGCTTGGCTGCCAGGGAGGAAGGCAGGAGATTCGGTGGAAAGGTGGTGAAGACAAGGACTCTGGAAAGAGTCATGGCTGTCCACTTGCAAGCCGAGGGATTTGGATACGAGCTGGATAACTTTGTGGCGAGCTCGCTGGTGGACATTTATGCCAGGTGTGGGAGCATGAGGGATGCTCGCAGAGTTTTCGATCGAATGCCGAGCCACAACTTGGTGGTCTGGACGGCATTGATCCTGGGCTATGCTACGAACGGGGAGAATGAGGTTGGCCTCAGGCTCTTCGCTCGGATGCTTGGCGAAGAAGAAGGACGCAGGACAGATTCGCAGGCTTTTGTTGCTGCGCTCAAAGCTTGCACGGGGCTGACGGACAGAGAGGTGGCAAACGACTCAGGTGTAAAGATCCAGTGCTTGGAGAAAGGCATGGCTGTGCATCGTGAAGCTGCCAAGAGTGGAGTTGCAACGGAGATGTTCGTGGGAAGTGTCCTGGTGGATACATACGCGAAGTGCGGAAGCATGGAGGACTCCCGCATCGTGTTTGAGAAGATGGTGGCTCAGGACGTGGTCTCGTGGACCGCTCTCCTGTCACAGAATGGCGAGAGCGAGCTGACCCTTCGGATGTTTGAGAGAATGAAAGCCTCGGGATGTGCACCGAATGCTCAGACGTTCGTGGCAGTTCTTCACGCGTGCACGAACTTGGCTCTGCGAGAGGACAGCATTGAAGAGGACGGCAAAGTTCTCAAGGTGAAAGCTCTGGAGAAAGGCATGGCTGTTCATCGGGAAGCGTTCAAGGCCGGGTTTGAGCCGGACATCTGTGTGAGCAGCACGCTGGTGGATATGTACTCCAAGTGCGGCAGCGTCCTCCAGGCTCGCCGGGTGTTTGACAGGATGAAGCGCCACGATGTGGTGTCATGGACAGCGCTCATACTCGGCTGTGCTCAAAACGACGAGGGAGATATGGCACTGGAGCTCTTCACAAAGATGAGGCTTGAAGAGAAACGTTGCCAGCCCGACGATCAGACGTTCGTTGCCGTGCTGAAGGCCTGCTCCACAGTTGCATCGCTCGAGTTTGGAAAGAAGATCCATGCAGATATATGCCGGTGTGGACTCGAGGCTGGCAGGCTTGTCACGAACTCGGTGGTGGATTTCTACGGCAAGTGCGGGAGCATGGTCGTGGCTCACCAGGTTTTCGATTCCGCTAGAACAAGAGCCCGGGATATAATCTCGTGGAACTCGCTCATCACAGGCTACAGCCGCCACGGTGAAACCGACGCCGTCCTCGAGCTCTTTGCAAGGATGGTGGAAGAAGGCTTCCAACCGGATGGCATCACCACACTGGCGGTCTTGAACGCGTGCTGCCATGCCGGGCTGGTTGAAAGAGGGAGGAAGCTCTTCCAGGAGATGTGCTCCCGGAAGGCTGCAAGCGTGACTATGGAGCACTACCACGTCATGGTGGACATGCTAGGCCGGGCAAACAAACTCCAGGAGGCGGTGGAGATGGCGGACTCGATGCCTTTCGCAGCGAATGTGGTGACTTGGACCATCGTGCTGAGCTCGTGTCACAAGTGGAAGAGCTTGGAATTTGGAAGGCTGGCGTTTGAGGCACTGGTGAAGCTGGATGAGAAGCAGGCTGCTACTTACGTTCTCATGGCCAACATCTATGGAAGCTTGGGCATGGTTGAGGAGAAAGCTAGAGTTCATGCGATGAGCAGGAAGATTGGCGCGTGGAAGAAGCCCGGATCAAAGCTATCCAGTGGTCAAATCAGTCTCGATTCGTTTGTCAATTGTGGTGATCATCCTCAAAAGGAAGATTCCCAAGAAAAACTTATGACTGACAGACTTGTAAATTAAAAAGTCCTTGGCAACTGGCCATTTTGTGACACTCACACTCAAGCATCACCTTCAAACCTCTCATGCTTGCAGTGAAGCTTTGGAAGTAAACGATTGAAATGAGCTGGAACACTTCAACAAATGGAACACTGTCAGTCAAGTTGAGCTCGCGGATGGCATGACCAAATGGCGTGCATTCATGAATCAGCTAAAGCTGCAAAGGTGACAATGTTGAAGAAGTCATCTGATCATACAAGCCAGCCCTTATTTAAAGACCCTCTTAACTCCAGGAAAGGAACAGTGAAATGGCTTCCTCTACTCAGCTTGTTCTTGCGTTCTTTGTCCTGGCAGCATGCCTTACGCACACTGCATCCGCAGAAACAGAAGTATGTAACAAGGGTACCACACTCTGTTGCAACGACATTGACGCTTCTGAAGGAATTCCTGTAGAGATTGACGCAGACATTCTCAAGTGCTTTAATGTTGTCGCTGTGAATCAGTGCTCCAACACTGTAGTCTGTTGCGAGGAGCAGAAAGCCGGGATCTTTGTTGGGTGTGTTGCTATATAGGCAAAAGCGGCAAGAAACAAAAGCATAAAATCAATTTCTTTAAATAAATAAAGCTGTTTGTAATCAGGCAGAAAAAACACGATTTATAAACATCTAAATACCCCCGCCGCCGCCGCCGCCGCCGGCCCCCCCGCCACCGCCACCACAACCACCGCCTCCACCACCTCCTCCTCCGCCACACCCACCACCTCCTCCTCCGCCACACCCACCACCACCGCCTCCGCCACCTCCTCCACAACCTCCTCCTCCCCCTCCGCCACCTCCTCCACAACCTCCTCCTCCCCCTCCGCCACCTCCTGCTCCACCACATCCCCCACCTCCGCTGATGCCACACCCGCCTCCGCCACCACCACCTCCACCACCTCCGTCATACCAGCACTGGCCATCACCGCAAAAACAATCATCACCGCAAAAACAATCATCACCGCCACCGTCCCCGTCCTCTCCGCCTCCGCCTCCGTCCTTGCGGCGATCAACTGTCACAGCACCTGGTCAAGCAGCAATGTTCTTAGAATTTGCGTGCAAAGAAACTTGTTTCTCACCCCAATGATCTTCTTCTTCTTCTGAGACGATCACTCGTTTACTCGTCTTCGTCCACGAAGGAATGGCTTTGCCGAGCATATCCGACACGGACATGCTTATGGTTGCCGATAAAAGAAGCACAAGCAGCACATCCTCATTGCGATCAATCTGAGACAAATCAAATCACAAAACTGGAAGTAAGTTTCGATTAAAGTCTACCTGCATGCCACCAGATCGCCAGTTGAAAAGAGCTGTCGCCTTGCCTTGAGGAGCGTCTCTTGTGAATCTTACCATTGTCACAAACCACGCTTCCTGTCGCTCGGATGCACCAGGAACAGCAAATTCCAGGTGACGCCCCGAGAAGAGCATGATCTACAATCAAGTTTTCCAGAGAATCAGCCACTATATCAGAGAATCTGTACCACTATATATGCAGACTAACTCACCGGACAGTCGTGGGATTTCATTTCAACGCGGAGCTGTGGTTTCATGTTCCAGTGCTTATCCTTGACATCTCTGCTAACAGTTAAAGTAGCCTTCCCGTTCATTAGAGACCATCTCCTAGACACTGAAGATGGTTTCTCTAGTTGCCACGCAGATCCTAGAATTTCACCTGAGAAAACAAAGCAACACTATAAATCTTTTGCAAAACATGTCCAGAAGATGCTCATACCATTTACGGAGCCAGTGTTGTAAGAACCGTCGTATGTCCACCCTCCTTTGTGAACATGGATAACTTTATCGGTGTCGAGAATGCTCCTTAGCAAAAGCCCCCCACCCTTGTATCTAAAGCAAAAGTTGCCACATTAGTTCTAGAAAAAGTGGCTCAATTTGCAAACCTGCAACGGTGTGGTCGAAAACATTCCTTGTTATCCACATGCCTTCTCTGTGACTGTGGAGGCTGTGAGTGGCACAGTCGTCTCCCGTGTCTCTCACTCTCACGCTTCTGAAGAGATAAGGCGCAGTGACTGGAGGAGTAACGGAGATGTAAACCAGCACCGACACTTCTCGGTCCTTCTTTGTCTCCAGCAATGGAAACCAGCCGCTGAGTGATTGCGTTTCCGAGCGGATGACAGTTTTCCATGGAATCAGGAGCAGGCCCACGGTTTTGGATATCAAAAAGCGCTTCTGTCGAACTGCGAGCACCAGCCCTTCGGTGGAGAGTTCAGCTGTTATGGTTGAGACTACGCTCAGATGAGAGGAAGCCTTCCCTCGTTGGCTCTCGAGATTCAGATACTTTTGATGGTTTAACGAGCTTATCACGTAGTAGATGGTCCTATCGTCTGGCAAACCTCTGGTACCTCTTACGGAGAGATGAACCTGCATAAATCGAATAGAATCGGATCAGACGAGATTGACAATAAGACTGCGAACTCCAATACCTGAATGGTCTTTCGCTCAGCCAAGTCATAATCGTTTTTACTAGCGAGCCTGGCGAGCTTGGCTGGATCATAAGCACGTGTTCCGGGAATGGATGCTGGTGGCTCCCCTCTATACATGCACCCTGCTTTCTCGTATGGAAGGCCATACGTGTCTTCCCACATAGATCGAGTCTTTGTGAATCCATTGTCCAGTTTTCCTCCGGAATCTCGGTTGCTATCTGTGTCGTCATGCTCGAAGATCCTTCCCAGTACCTGTGTGAGATCGTTGTGGTAGCTCACAGGGTGAAGCTGATGTGTATGCCATATTAAATCGATGTCGTAAGTGGGAACGAAAAATGTTGATGTGCCAGACGTGCGTACGAGATGGAGAAACGCCTTGTAACGTGCAACAGCAGCTACCAAGAAGCTCTCGTCCAGGTAATGCGGCTCAGAAACCTGCGTACTCAAAGTTAATTTGCTTCCAAGGAAAGATCATCACTTGCCTGATAGTAGAAACTTTTCTGCCTGAGAGCTGCTTCTGCCAAGTCATAAAAGATATTGGTTGGTCTTTCGGTATATCGCGTAAATGTCAAGAGTGTATGGTTCGTCTGGAAAATTCGAAGCCCATGTACTGGCGCTTTGTTGGAGATCATTTGTGTGCCTCGCCAAAGAAGGTCCGTCCACAATTTTACCGAACAATCTCTTACAGTCGTCAGCATATTGAACCTAGTCAGACACGTAACTTTAGTAGATTGAAGTGGACAGATAATGAATAGCCACACTCACAGGATTCAAGCGATGGCAATGCCATATCCAGCCGCAGTCGAGTGGCGGGACAAAAGTCCCAGAAGAATTTGCTAGCAGCGGAAGGCAGCAGTACTGGTACCTAGAATCCAAGAAGAAATCAGCAAACTAGATCAAACAAGTAAATATCTCACCTCTCAATTGCCCTTTCCAGAACAGGCCTCTCAAACAGCTTGAAATTGGCATGTACCAGCGAAAGGAACTCCAACTGTGATTTTGCAGCTGCTACCACATCCAGAGAGAGCGTAATTTCTTGAGCCTTGAGCCAATCATTCACTTGATTCACGGAAAGCGAAGCCATTGTTGTAGTCTGTGAGTCGAGCACATTGCTTGGTCTGCTTAAATAAGCGGGAAGAAGCTGCCTGCTTTGACTCTTCGAAGGATGCGTAGAGAGTTCGGAAATTCGATGTGTCTTAGAGCTTTTGGATGTTCAGGCTAGTTGACGGCGACGGCCAATGATCTCGCAATCCGGCTCGTAGAGAGTTTCAAGGTCAGTGTGTATCATTGACTGGCGTGGCAGGATCGTCGAACTTGCTTTTTTCGTCAAGTCGTCTTTACCAAGACTTTTTTTGTTACTGTGTCAAAGGACGTGCGTTCACGTTAGCCTGAAACAAAACATAAAAAAAAAAATAAAAAAAAAAAACCAGCAGGAGAAGTTTCGACTGTACTTTCAAGGGAAATCCACGTCCTTTTGGGCCAAGAGAAGCTCAAAACGAGGAACGAGAAGTTCTCTTCCATGTCCTTTAACACTCGCTACTTCGTGCCTGGGTTGAAAATAAAAACGGCACAAAATTAGAGAGACTGTCCTCAGCGAAGATCTTTCCTTCCCATGGAGGATGGATGGATACAACACATCCGACCTGTACATCGGGAGAAAGGCTGTCGAAAATAGCGGTGACAGCTTCGAAGGTCTCCAAAACCTCGCACTTTGTGGATGTGAGATGTGCCTCAGGCGACGATTTCTCGAGCACTCGTACAGTGAGAGAACCATCTAAAGCAAGGAACCATGATCATGTCGAAGAGAACAAAACAGGGAAAGACATACCAGCTGGTTTCATGTCTGAGCTCAAGTGATTGTGGCGCCCTCCCAGTTGTGCCAAGAGTGCTTCAAACCTTTACGAATCAAAGAAACGTCAGATGTTAAGGACGGCATGGAAGAGCCACTGACTTAAACTTTGACGAGGTTTCTGCCGGAAGATCACCGCCGTCGCTGCTAAACTCTTGAAGCTCTTGCACAGAAAGCTTGGTCAAGGATGCATCCTAGAAAAACAATCAATGAGAGGAGAAGAAAGAGAAGGGCCAGGCTATGTCTCGTTACCTCGGACGTGGTATCACTATCGATCGGATCAAGGCTAGAATCCACCCTGGAAGAGAATGATCGCTAGAAATGAAGAATAGAATCACTGGAAATGCAGCTACCTCGTGCTTGCCTTGCGCCCAACATCGTCGTCGTCGTCGGCATCTGAGATTCCATCCTCCAGCTCCAGTGGCCGTCGCGGGCGCTTCATGCCCCGGGTTTAAACGAGAATATGGCGTGGCTGCTGTTTAAGTAGTTCTGACATATCATGAACCGTTGGATGAATTCTAGCACATAGACTTTTATAGGTCGGCATGTTGTCTTTGTTCAGGTACACAGAAAGCATCAGCTCGTAGATGAGATGACACAGTTTGCGACGATTTTTCCTTGGTTTGAATGGATGTCAGGACAATCTTGGTGACCACAACCATGGCAGGCCAAAAGCCATTTGACCTACATTCCCAGGAAGGGAAATGAAGGGATTGTAATGGTTAAATATATATGAACATTCCCCAATGTCCCATAGGGATTGTTAGTGTTGTCATCGGGAAACTAATCTAATGATGCATACCTATTGCAGCCAACCACAACAAAAACATCAAGAGTGCAAACACCACTGCCCTCAACCTCCAGCCAAAGCTGACCATATGTAGGTGATGTACTAGCCTTGGGGATATCCTTGCTGTGATGCTTTATTTCTTGATCATGGAATTCTTGTATAAGTTCCTCCCTCCAAAATCTATTTGTCCTTATGAGAAATTGTTAATCCCTGTTGAAGCATAGTCACTACCGTGACTTGTGAAAGCAAGGAGTATATAAGTATTGTATCCCTATACATGTGTGTGTCTACTGTATATTCTGTCCCAACATGGTCTTAGAGGATTAAGGGCAATTTGTAAGTGATGGGAAAGTATAGTGGATTTGAGGGATTTTTGTCTAATTGTTGAGAGGAAGCTGAAAAAGAAGAAGGTTCTTGGGTTACTCACTTGAAAGGAGCAGCCACCATCAAGGCTAAATGAAATAGATCATGGTTTAAGTAGGCTAAATTGCCAAGTCATCCTAGACATATTCAAGCATCATTAGTCTTTGGAGGAATGGCCATATAACCAATAAGCTTACTAGACTATACAAATTTATAATTCTATATAGACTTTGAATTTAGCGAGTGTAACACATGTTTAATCCCATTACAGATAGCCAAGGGTATCCATGACATACTAGTTTGTTATGTTAATGTTGAGAAGGAAGCCTCTCAACAGCGGGAAAAACACTCTATCATACTCTAAAATCCAACTCTCTATTGTTTGAATATTCTAAGGGTATGGGCACAGGGGTATATTCCCCATTTTTTAGGGCAGAGAGTTCACAAAGAGATATTTTTATATTTTAGAGAATCTTGCTCAACTCTAACCATCTAAAGAATGTGTTAACTCTGTTGCAGAGAACACAAGGCCTAAGTATTGGTGTAGACTCCAATATGATGCCTTGTGTTGACAACTGTTGTGAGGAAAAAAGACTAAAGAAAAACAAAGAAAAGAGAAGATGAAGAAAAAAGAAAGTGTAGAGTTCTAGAGTTAAAAGGAAACCATATGGGAGAAGTTGACAAAAGAACTAGATACTAAAACAAAAAGAGATAAAATGGAGAAAAAACAAGTGAAAATAAGAGAAAACCTCTAAAAAAAACCTTAAACCTCTAAAAAAAACAGCATGGAAGAACAGAGTCATCAAGGATGCATCCTAGAAAAAGACCTCATTACCTCGCACTCGATTTTGTTACGGTTTAAGGTTTATTGGCAATCACTAGAATTCATGGTCGATGAAGTGAGTGACAAGCGTGGCCGCTGTGCTGTTGTTTGTACCAACATTCTCCTACTCACTTACAAGCACAGGAGCCATAAATCTTGGGATGTTGGCCAGGTTTTTAGCCTTCCAAACATTATTCTTTTATTGTATTTATGTTTTCGAAACATGAGAAAGTATAAATCAGCAGAGAAGGTTTGGATTTCGAGTCATGAGATGGTAGGCTTATCCCAGCCGAAAACTTCCGGGTAGTGGTTGCCTATATATATCTGATGCAAGTAAAAGTTTTTTTGAGTCTTCTTAGACAAACATATCTTTCTTTTTTAGCTTAGACTTTATTCTACTAAGGTTGAGTGGGGATTACAAATTCGAGTGGTTTCCAAAAACACAGGCAATGGGAAATTGCTACAGCAAATAGCGACATACTATATTATTGGTTAATCTAACTGGTGAATTATCTCTTTTAGCCTTTTTCTTTCCCAGCAGTATCAAGGAGGGTATTTGTAGTGCATGTAATTATGGGATGAAATTTGGATATACTGTCACCATGGATCCTTAGAACCTTGAGGGATAAATAGGGATAAAATAGGCACTAAGGGCTCTCTCATCAAGCAATCATCCCTTTTTCAGTTGGCTTAAGGGGAGAGAGATAAAGTGCATTACATGTGGTATCAAAGCAAATGGCATAGGTTCAATTCCCATTGATTAGTGGCTATTTATATTGATTAGTGGCTATTTAAAAGTATAATATACCCTTGAGCAAGGTATTCCTACCTGAAATCATATGTATTGAGCATCCATGCGTATGTCTTTCTTCACATCCACCGTATGACTACCACATACGGGTGTTTCCTCACATGGAATAGTTTGTCTACACAATCGAAAGATTGGTAGATTGGATTGGATTGGAGGTGTTGGTTCCCCTTGGCTCAATAGGGGTTGTGAAGT